CAGCAAGTTAGCCATGAGCCAGCCATGTGCCTTGTGGCCAGGAAGGCCAAGAGTATCCAGGGGCGCATGAAGAAGAGTGTGGCCAGCAGGTTGAGGGAGGTAGTTTTCCTCCTCTACTCCGCCCTGGTGAGGCCACACCTGGAGTGCTGTGTCCAGTTCTGGCCCCTCGGTTCAAGAGGGACAGGGAACTACTGGAGACAGTCCAGCAGAGGGCCACAAAGATGATGAGGGGGCTGGAGCATCTCTTCTGTGAGGAAAGCCTGAGAGGCCTGGGGCTCTTTAGCCTGGACAAAAGAAGACTAAGAGGGGACCTCATCCACGGTTGTAAATATCTAAAGGGTGGGTGTCAAGAGGATGGGGCCAGGCTCTTTTCAGTGGTGCCCCATGACAGGACAAGGGGCAATGGGCACAAACTGGACACAGGAAGTTCTGCCTCAACATGAGGAGAAACTTCTTTATGTTTAGGGTGACAGAGCACTGGAACAGGCTTCCTAGGGAGGTTGTGGAGTCTCCTTCTCTGGAGATATCCAAAACCTGCCTGGATGCAGTCCTGTGCAACCTGCTGTAGGTGAACCTGCTTTGGCAGGGGAGTGGACTAGATGATCTGCAGGTCATCTAGTCCTTCCAACCCCTATCGTTCTGTGACTGTGTGACTTAAAGAGCGGTACCATCAGAGTGCTGCACCTGGTGCTACTACACTTTAATTAGCGTAGCTTTGCAACTGACTTGTGATTATAATAATCTGGGACCAAATCTCTGGATTGGTTCTTCTGGGTATCACAATTTGGCAGCACAAGCCTAATTTTTAGAGATGCTGACATTTCCTGTCCCACCTGAAATCACTGGAAGGCACAAGTTAGTCGCGCTAAAAAGAAAAAACAAAAAAGAACCTAAGAATTTATTAGCAAATTCTGAAAGTAATGTTTTTCATCTCTCTGTGTCTATTTTCCTGCCTGTGACACAGAGGCAACAGTCATAAGCCAGCAGGGATGGAGGACTGTCAGTACTCAAGAAAGGGCAGCTTCGACCTGGCTGATAAGGCTCATGGCTAAGGTGTCTCTGTTGCTTCCCTTTGTCCATCTTGTCCACACAGATGAACAGTCAGGATAAAGTCCGACCACAGAGTGTGTAGCAGAAGGGAGCCTTAACCCTCTGTTCTACTAGACACTAGTATAAATCAAGTAGTTACATAAATAATGAAACCGATTGCTTCACTGGAGAAGACTTTGCAACCTACAAATAAAAAGCAATGCACGACCCCTTGGTGAAATGAGTACTACTCGGAGATCACAACAAAGTGCAGCTTTCTCATTCTGTACACATAGCACACATACAGCTGGCTTTACATAAAACAATCCCATCTTCTCTTTACTTAGAACACAGATCACCGCTTGGAGGGAAAGGGGAGACAAAAGAAGGTGCAAAAATAACCGCTCACTGAATATTTCTGCTCCAGTCAGTACCTCTCAGATCTTCCACGTGCTTTCTGTTAAGAATGATCCTTGTTTTTTCACAAACTTAAAAGCCTGTGATTTGCATCATCTAATAGCATATCACTTGTGAAAACAAAATAGCACTGTCCACTAACACAGGCAGCTTCTGATTGTCAAAGATCTTCATAATATTGATTCTTTCTCCCTTCAGTTATTTCACAGAACTCTGTTCCTCTAAGGCTTCCTTTAAATCTGTCGCAATCTGAGGCTCCGGATCTGCTGCGGGTTTATATCCAACAATGCCCAAAGTGCCTCTTCACTTCCAAACTCCATCAGGTTCTGGATAAATGGTCCTAAAGGTCAAGTTTATCCGGGCATCTCTAGAATGATATTCCTTAGGCACTCGATGCTGTAAGTGTCATTAGGAAAAAAAAACAAAACAAAAACGAACCAAAAGCATCAGATTGTGTATTTAAAATACAGGTAATCAAACAATGTAAAAAACCTTAATTTCCTGTGATGGCTTTTTATTAACATTTGTAAACATTTCGGTAAGGCAAAAATTTCATGTTCTGACTCCTCAGGGCCACTGAAAACAAAAAGTCTTTGTAGATTACTGTAGACATGTTAAATTAAGTTGCAACTTCTGTATATTCTGAATTCCTAAATTGATTTTGCTCTGGCAGCTGCAGGCTGCAACCTTCATGGCTGAACTTTAATGCTGGAACATCTGAGCCGATTCCTATTACCTCACTTAGCACTTGAAAGAAACCCCATTGTTTCTATGGGTGCTTTGACATTCTGAGGCAGAAAGCACTATTAATGCGCTGGGAAACAATTGTGCCGCTGGCAGCAGAACGTCCCATACCTTTACGGGAGTGCCTCGTGCATCTGTAGAAAACTGCACTGCAAGTAAAGCTCACAAATGGTGTCAAAGAGTTCTTACCAGCCAGTCCTCTTGGGTAGCTCCTTCCATCATCAGCAGAGTCCCGTGGTCAAGCGGGATTCTTAGTCTTTCTACGTAAGTATAGTCCCCCTTCTCTTCCTAAAAAGAAACAGTAGACACTGAAGGAGCGGGTATGTGCATCTGGTAGGAAAACAGTCCTCTACAGCAGAGCTTATGAGGGGACAGCTCGAGGACAGGAAGCTCTTACACGATCAAGAAGTCTACCTAAACCCCTCTGTCACCCTATTTCACAAACGGTTCAGGAGTTGAGCATTTTAAGGATGAAAGCAGCCATTGTGTCTCACTGCCTGTACCACACAGGTAAAGCTCAACACCAAGTTCCCACATCTAGTGCAAAATGCTGGAGCGAGGCTGCGACTCTTTTGGAAACGTCCACTCCTAAAACAAACAGTTCTGTGCAGAGACATTCTGCAACAGCCACCCTGATTCCAACGGTTAACTGCTTCATCAAAAACACACATCTTCCTTCTGTTCTGATTTGTCTTGTTTTGGACATCACACATGGGTATAGCATTACATGCTAGATGAAGAACTGCTATCCAAAAAAAGTCTCCTTTTCCTATAGTACCTTGTAAAACAAGTTGTCTTAAACTTTATCATCACTAAGCAACACAGATTGCTAAACTGGAACACAAATAATTTGCAAACTTTCGTTAAACCTTCAGATTACATACACATTTTTAAAGCACAAATACCACACCCAGACACAGTAACACTGCAGTATTAGCCTCATACCCGCCCCATCGGTGGGAACAGCACCTCTCCATCGCTTTGCAGTATCCCTTCCAATTTTAAATCAGATTAATACAGTGCTAAGTCAAATTGCTCAGGGAAGTCTATCATGCTAACATGGTTCTCTTTGTCAATCACGATGGCTATGTCCTTATGAAAGCATACCACGCATGACATGAACTATCTTCCAATGTGCCACAGGGACAGGTATTACACTGCTCCATGTACTCCTTTAACATTTTCTGATTTTAGCCTCCAACAGCTGCAGAAAAAATTGCTGCAAACCCTGAACAACTTCCATTTAACATCTTGACTACTTAATGTTGGTGCTTCGACTACTTCACTTACATTGAAATGTGAGTAGGAAAACCAGGATTCCCCCCAAATACCGAATGGCAGTATCTATTTTACCTTTTATAGATCTCTACTGTCAACTTTGCAAGCCGGCTAGGAAAAGCAGAAAGCAACTCTCTGAAATGAGGAATACAGGGAAGTTTCAGATAGGAAATCACCTGCAAAATACTTTTTGGGGGGGGGGGGAGTTAAGAGAAATATTTCAATTAGTGTTGGAAGGGAGAAGGCTCAAGAGGTCCTTTATTTTGAAGTTATAGAAAGCCATAGAACGCTTGACAGTGTAAAGTGGATAATAAACATCCTCCACTGAAAAAAAGAGCATGACAGGTTCTCAGTCTCTGTGTTGCACAAATGCAGGGTTAACCTTGTTCTGAGTACACTGCATACAGCAGACAGCCTGAATTTTTACTTTACCACTGCCTCTAGAAGCAGAGATACTGGCTTTTTTCCCCAAGAGATCACCAAATCAGTTATTTGTTCTTGAAAGAAAAGCCAGAAAGACACAATTACTACAAAGAGACAAGAAAAAAAATAATTATGCCGGGTCTGAGCTTCTAAAGCACAATGTTGTTCCTGTAAGTGACCATACATCTTAGTGACCATGCTGAACAAATGCTTCACATTTTTTATTTTTTAATTAGTTAGGCAGTACCTCCTCTTCCAGTTTCTTACAATGGTTGGTGGACTCTTAAAAATCACACTTGCTGAGTGATTAGGAAGCGGCAATGCTCAATTATTTCAAACCCAGCTGAAGGCACCAATTACTCCAGACTCAACAAAACCAGCTACTACTACCAGAGTGGCATTTGTCACATTTGTCATGTACAATGAAATTGTACTTTGAGGGTGTGTGTGTGGAATGAAAGATCACAACTTATGTCACTTGTCACAGAAGCAGATTCCAAAAAAGCTGGAAACAATACAGGACAACTGAGACCAGGAAAAAGGAATTATCACAGTAACAGTTAACCCAGCTTGAGGTGCAGGTGTAGTTACCTCTCACTGACAAAAGTCCCACCTTTCTGATACAGAAACAAATGTTACAGGATCTCCAGGCTTCAGCTGTATGTTATTCAGGAAAACTAACAGGGCTCTGCACAGACCCGACCATTAGAAGAAAACATTAAGGGGTCATAAAAAGGCAGACAGAGTCTTTTGAGAGCCATTAACAAGACCCAACAGCTCTCATCCAACACATTTTAATGCTTTTACAAAAACTTACATTTTCAGAAATCTTAACTCCCTTGAAGCTTAATTGTGCAGCGGCCCAACTGGATCAAGGTTTGTCTTTTTTAAAGTTCGTGGCTTGCCAAAAGCTCACAATAATGAGGCAAAGCATCAACTACTGGGAAAACTATGTCCTGGAGTTAAAACAAAGTTCAATTTCCAAAAGAACAACTGGGAGTGTGTGTGTATAAAAAAGATGCAGACAGAAAGACGACTGCAAATCCTCTAAAATGCTAAAAAGCTTGGTTGGGCTCAAATCAACCCGATAATAAAAAGCACTACTTGATGCAATTGACTATTTGTTCGCACCACTGCCATTTTCCGTTCATGTCCAGGACTAGAAGTCACAGTGTGACAGCACAAGGCTATTCAATACTGCTGCTACACCTGGCAGCACTGGCTGGCAGTTCTGGATTTGTGCATTTCTTGGGGATACCTAAGGGCCCACGGCTGTGCCAGTGATTAATTAAGCTCACTAAACCTCTGGAATGAGAGAGTGCTGAAGGCACTCAGAATAACCTGTAACATGTATTCTTTGTTTGTAAAAAACCCCTATTTTTAAGCTTCTAGAATCACTAGGCATTTATTTTGCTCTATTAAAAGTAAGGTGTAATGCCAAAAACGTTTTCTTAAACTTCAGAGGAAACAAGGAGAAAGTTTCAAAAATAGGTATTATAAACACGACTGCTGACGAAAAGCAGAGAAATACCACTGCAAGGCTGTCTTCTGTTTCACAGGATTACATCATCTCACTTTGTGGATGGACAGCAGTGGACTTATTTTTATCTCTTGCTCATCTTGATTAAAAAGGAATTCTAAGATAAATGATTTCGAAGAAAACATCCTTCAGCTTAGAAAAGTCAGTATGTAAAAGCAGTAGTTACTTGACATTTTAAATGGGACATCTCCGAGCTCAGTTTTACTTCAGAAAAGAGACTTTTATGCCAGTTGGTTTTGCAGAGCCAGCGAAGCTGAGTTTCAGGGGTCAAGAAGTTTACGAAGGAAATTTATTCCTGACATCTAAGGAGGAAAAGACTTTCTTAAAATGCTGCTAACAAACATGGAAAGAAATGCATCACATAACTTTTACACAGTCACTTTGTAACTCTATATATGTATTACAAAACCAGCTGCTTCCAAGAACGGGTCTAGTAAAGCAACTGTTCTGCTTCTTAGTGTATTAGAATTTTCATAATCTTGAGTTGCACTTTTAATACAATCCAAGCTTTACACTGTCTAAGTAGACTGGATAAAACTTTTTTTTTTATCCTCCATTCAAGTAACTACAGTTAATAAGTGAGTAAAGCTCAGCATAAGGATACAAAATCTGTATGTATTCCTGGACTCTATCAAGGTTTTTTTCTTAAAACAATATTAAAATCAAAAAGGTAAGAAAGAGAAAAGATCTAGTATAAATCTATACAAATCACCTAAGTTTGTTATCTTAAGTCTCAGGCAAGTTTATTGAGATAGTAGTAGGAAATGGGTTCTGGATAGTGTAGAAGCATCTTCTAATACAAGCAAAAGTAAATGGAAACATCCTGCAGAAGAACGTATAAATAATAATGCAGTTATACATGGAAATGATGCAAAATTATTTTCAAAGGCTAAAGTCATGGAGAATGCTGACTTCTAGTCTTCTGCTTTACCTATTACCAAGAGAATCCTCTTTACACAACTTCTAATCTCCTATTTTCCAGACTTCCATCTTGCTTGTATCCCTCTCCTCCAGTTTAGTCCTCTACCACCAGCTGTGGAAACACCCTCCTCCACAACAAAGTGGTCTCATCTACCAATACTGCTGCATTTTTACCTGCTTGTTCTCACTATCTCTGATGACATCCCCACTGCAGCTCTTTTCTTTATGAATTCAGTAAGAATGAATATCAGTTATATTGTCCTTTCCTCATGTAATCCACTTGCCTGCCTACACAGAACTATCTTTAAACTCTCTCAGTCTTTCTGCAGCTGACCTAGCAGACTGCAAGTCCAGTAGCTCTAAAACACTTGCACCTTCCTCTCAGCTTGTCTACAGCTGCTCGAGTCCTGCCAATACCTGTGGACAACACCTCCTCCTCTGCAGCCCCTGCTGCCTGCACGTCTCCTTCATGCCAATCTAAAAGTTCAACCCTCCTCGTCTTGATCCAAGCCTCACAGCTTCTACTGTGCTCCACATATTCCTGTGTTCTAATCTTCAATTAGGTCTGCTAGGACATGAAGGGTTATTGTTCTGCTGTTTTCAAAAGTACTAGGAGATCTTTAACTTCTGCTAGAACAGCTACTCAAGGACAAAAGGACGATGTTTTGTGTTCATTTGAAGGACAGACCCTTCTGAAGGCTGATTCTGAGAACACCACAACATCCTGCTATTATCCAGCACATGTGTGAAGCTCCCTCCTTTCCCCAGCACCCATCAGCTTCCTCACTGGCAGATGGAAGAGCAGCAACCTGACAGCTGGCTTTCCAGCTCCTTCCACAGTTCACACGGCAGTTTGTGGGACAACTACATCCAACTGCTCCTTATGGCACCCAGACCTCTGCTACAGAGCATCTCGCAGTGGGATGTGGGAGCTTAGTAGGACATCAAATATCACCCTTGAACTAACATTTCACACTTGGCTTCCAGAAAGACCCAATCAGATAACCTGGCGTTGTCTCACTGAGTTGAGCAATAGTGACAATGGTAGTGAGACTGCATCAGAAAGACTCATCTAACGCAGTGAAATCAACTCCTCTAGAGCAGGATGATTAAATTATGTAAGAATGGGACAGAGGCCTTGAGGCTGTGTGGAGAACAGGAGGAGGTCACAGTGGTGCAGCAATGACAGTTATACTGCGGGCAAGCACAAGAGGACTTCTTGACTAAACCAATAGATTGTGTGTGAATCACAGCTCTGAAACAAATCATTCGGCTCTTGGTTTGTAGGCATGATAGGGGGTGGAACAAGGAGGCAAGAAAAAGTTTTAAGTAATTTACTGGAACTAGAAGCAGAAAATTAATGAAACCAGATCCCTTCACTGTAGACTTTGAACTACCAAGTAAGCATCCAAAAAACCCTAGAAACCATTTAATGCAAAGGCAAAATGTCAGCCATAGCCACACAACTGGTCCAAATAAACAGAAAAGGCAGTACTCAGAAGAAAGAATGCTTAAAAAGAAAAAAACCAGCAGGTAAAGTCAGTTTCTGGCATCGTGTTAATTGCCATGAAAAGTCTCCTTAATTCCAGTGGGGAATTTACTCCTGAAATGTATTTGTAGCTTTTTCTACACTCACTGGGCTGAAATCTGAGTAAGAATTACTTCTACTTATCCACAAGGGATGCTTGTTGATGCAGATTCAAGTAGGCTATGCACGTCTTTACGCTACTTTACCAGCTATTATATGACAAACACTTACTCATCCAGTACAGTACTCACCAAAAAGAAAAAGAGGACTGAACCTTTCCTTCCCCTCACCCTGAACAATTTTCAGGGAAAAAACCCAACGACTTAGACCTAAATAACTTTCTTCTTTTTTTCCATGTTTTGACAAGGAAAAATGCAGAGAAAAGATAAAAAGATTTCCTTTTGTGACAGTTTCAGAGTGGCCTATATAAACGCCACCAAATTCCTAGCAGACAAATGTCAAAATTCACACAAACATGCACAAAGAAACCCCCAACAACCCACCAACATTACTGGTCATCTTTGCAGTTAGAGAAATAGCATTTTATTCTCTAACAAGTTCATCCATGTTTCAAGATCTAAGATGGGAAGTATTTGTACAGACAGTATGATGAACTGAAGTGTCTGAAGGCTCTAGTCTAGTACTCTTCAATAGCCCTACAAGGTGTTACCTGCCTTGTGGTACATACTGGTTTGTACCCAGTACATGACCACACACAGGCAAGCACTTTGGTTTTTTTTTTTCCAGTACCATTTATTCATAGTGAGCTTCTACCATAGTATTTCTCATCTTGTATTTTCATTACATCTTTCATCTTAAAACACTTAAAAGCACTTATAAGAACAGGGGGAAATGAAGCCTTTGAAACTCTAGAATCTCAAATACTAGAACGTTGTTCCCTCAAAGAGGTTTAATTTGGGGAGGAAAAGGATATACTTTCTCTCTCCTTCCTCAATGAAGCCTAACTCTGGAAAACTCATGTCCTGATACTGTCAGATTACAAACCAGGGAGAGTTTGAATGCCAGTGATGACTGTTAATCTGAATCCCTCTTCCCTGGACTACATGCCTTTTCCTGTAACTTGGTTTTGAACAAAGTAACAATCAAACTTCAAGTATCTACAACCAACTTTAACTTTCTCTTAATGAAAGAGAGAACGCTACATTACACCAGGGCATGAAAATTACTTCTTTGGTGGTACAGCCTGAAAGGTTCTAATTTCCATCAGAGCCTCTTGTAACGCCCGCTTGGCAAAGCACCTAGTGTCACAGGATGGTCTCAGAAAATTGCAGGCTTTGGAAATGTGCAAGGAATACATAATGTGTGCCATACAATTATTAAGTACAAGTTCCCTTAGTCACAAGATGCAAAGATCTGTCTGCACCTTAGAAAGAGGTATGTCACGCTTGCAAAAGGAATATACTTCATGAGTAGCAAGTCTCAGCTAGTCAGAGATATCAGGTCAGAGGCACTGAAAGAAAAAAATGAGGAGAGCTTGAGGGATACATCTATAGAAAATTGTCCATCTCGAGAAGAAAAGGGAAGAAATCGTGCAGTACAGATCAAACAAGGTGGCCAATTAAGAATGGCACAGACTGAATTTCCCCCTTTGCTCATAGTGAGTGTCTTTTCAGAAAACAGAAAAAAGAACAAAAAGACATCTTGCTCAAGAACTGGGTTCGATTTTTAAGAGAGAAACTAAATGGCTTTGATTCTGATCCATCAAAGGGGAACACACATGCTTCCAGAAACAAATCCAAGCACCATTTACAGTTTCCCAGAGGAATGAACTTTCCAGCTGACATTTTCTTTTGTTATCATCACAGCATCAAAGATACTTACTCATGCTATGCCCCCTGATACAGTACACTGATTATGTGAGCTCATGCTCAGGGACCAGGATTAAATTCACTTCAGATAACAAAAAATTCACAAATTAGAGAACTGGTGAAAAATACAAATTATTTATTTGTTTTCTAGTTCAAATTCTGACCTTTGCTGTTCACGACTAGGTGGCCCAAGGTGACTCTTGATGGGCAGACCTCAGTACATCAGCATACAGTTTTCTAATAGGCTGATAATCATCACCTTTGCTTTCTGCATTACTTATTCAGAATAAAAAGCAACATGAAGCAGACAGCAAACTTCTTCCCAAAGCTCTACACATGCAGAACAGCGTACCCTCTGAAGCAGGATACGCTAAAAGGCCTGCATTCTCAACACAGGAATGTGTGATTCCTTTACTTGGATAAAAACAAATTGCAGAATTTAAGTTGGCTTGTAAACACAGCAGTCTCAAGCACAGCATTTTATCTTGAAAGGGTATTGACCACTGGATCGCCAACTAACTCCTGAAAGGACGTGCCACAAGTGTTACCTTATCAAAGTAAAGATCTCTGTTTAGTCTGTGAAATACGATGCAACAGTTTGCTATTTTATGGCAAAGAAATGAGCTCCTTCTCTCTGTTCACTGTCCCTCAATCTGAACAAGTCAAAATGCAAACATTATTAAGAGGATTTTTACTTACAAGAACAGTCAGCTGCTTTTCATCCCACATGCATTATGCACTACACCACGTTTGCCTAAGAAAATGGTATCAACTCTTTGGTTCATTTACACAGCGAAAGTCCCCTTCCACCATCACTGTATGTCACTTGAAGCAACGAGAAAGGCCCTTACTTAGGCAGAAGGGCACCCAGGTCACAGTTCCACTGCAGCACTACACTGCTGCACATCATTAGGGTGGTCCCATTCCCATCCTCAAGATGTCATGTTCAATGCAATAGATTTCTTGATCCCTATGCTTATTCCACAGAACGAGTTGTGCTTTCATAAACTACTGTTAAATGCTTTTAGTAATTAAGTTCTCTAAACAGAGGGAAAATACTAAGACTCTCTCAGTGTGATATGAACACTCACAGGGGAGGGTTTCTTTCTCATCTCAAAGGTCCGGGTAGCACCAAAGCTGAGCGAGGCAATGACAGGATTTTTTCCCAGCGATGGTTCATCGTCACTGTGCCAGTCTACGCTATCCTTCTCATTTCGGTAGAGGTTGCAGAGAAGGGAGTTGAAGGGATAGCCAGTGAACTCTTCAATGCGCTCCTTTAGCACGGTCAGCAGAGGATGCCACTGTAATCAGCACAGCAGGAGTAGGGTAAACAAAACAAAGCAGGCCAGCAGCAGGTAACACATGGGGAAAACTACCAAGAAACAAAATATACTGCACTCTAATTACAATAAACTTGAAATCAAACAAATGCCTCTGAACAATTCTGATTATATTTTTAGTAAAGCCGAGGAACAGGCTTTCTGCGAAATATGCACGTTACCTAGCGCTCAATACTACATCATCTCTTACAACCACGAAGCCAGTCTGCCTTTTGCACTAATGTAGCCAGACACCCCAATTAACTGAAAGATGAGAAAGCAGACAGAGTAAAATCTGCTTGCACTGACCATGGATAAACATTGGGATAACATGGATAAACTTCTCCCATGCATACCTGTTGTTGAACTTCCTGGCCAAGCTAGAGGCATTTAACACGGGCGTCTGGTTAACATCTCAGTTACCTGGCCACTGCTGGTGGGCACAGTGCACCCGGGAAGCTGCAGTCAGTGACTAACTGACAGGCTCCCAATTGCCTGCAGCTGCTGACACAGAACAAGAGACAATGGTTGGCCTGACACTGTCACGGTGTGGCCCTCCGTCCCCACTCTGTTAGTCCAGCTTCTTGAGTCCGACTCGTCACCTCGTGGGGTTTTGACTTTGACGCTGTAACTTTTCAGTGGTTCACAAAACCAGTGTCACAGGTTCCGCAGCGGCTCTGCACATTCTGCCACAACTCAGTCCATGAATCACTATTTAATGTTATAAACCTACATCATGACTTCCAACTGTCAGAGTGCTTTTAAGTACTATACAAATATATTTAAAAAAAAAAAAAAAAAGCCAAAGCAATGTAGGCCAGAAATGTTGCCCATTACATAAGGAGAAACACAGACCAAGAGAGGATAAAAAACTGATTCCCAATCTCCCTGTGCATCACCAGCAGAAGGAACAGACTGCAGGAATTATTTCCTCATATCCACCTCTAATCATCGAGTCTTCACTATCTTCTTTCCATGCATACCCACCTTTAAAGGGTTCTTAACCTACTGGCTACACTGCAGGAACCTCAACATACCATCTTTGTCTGTTAGGGGTATTTCTAGCTAAGTCACCCCTTCAATGACTAAGCATCACGTGAATAATTAATTATACGTAAACATAGTTTGCAGCTGTGGGACATTTAGGGAAATTAGTAATACCACCCCAAAAAAGCTATAGCTTGTAAGTGGGCTGCCTGAATGGGCAGGACACAGAATGCAGTGACAGAAGAGTCCAACAAGAATTATTGATGGGGCTTTGCAGTGACCAAGTAGGACTGGATTCGTTCAAGTGCTATCACAGAAGTATTTATTACTAAAAATGTCACCCTACAGTGAATTTTACAATTCAGTGGAAACCCCACTACAGCCTTAGAGCACAGGAAGTCATTTCGTTGAAATATTACTGTTTCAACGAAACTACATCACTGCTTACAAAGAAACATTTTTCCAACACCAAAATTCATTTAGGCACAAGCACTGGATTATACCCAGCAGTGCTGCAATCACACCGAGTCTCGGCAAACAAAAAAGGAGGGACACAAAGCTAATTACTCCAAGCTGTGCACTAAATTACATTTGCTCAGGATCTTTTTGTGATATTAACCCTACTCTGCAGGTAAGGACTGTGCTCTCTGCACCATCCACTGCTGCTTCTAGGCTGCAGGAACTCCCACCTACAAAGCCAAGTGAAATATCAGAGAGCCCGTGTGCAGTCTACCCGTACGTCTGCCTACAGGCAGTTTCCAGCCAGTGGCAGGGCTGGTTCCCAGCTATGCAAGTTTGCCAGTGCATCTCACTTTCTGCTGGAGTTTCTTTCTCTCAGTAAAAAGGAGAGTTATTCAGGGATAAAAGACAGGATCAGCATGCATGGCTGATTTAGGTCGTGTACCTCTTGGATGAGAAAAATAAGCCAGAGGCCCACTCAGCCTCCAGAAAAATGCATTTAAATTAATAGTCCACAAATCAGTAAAAAAAAAAAAAAAAAAAGTCTATTTTTCCACCACTAATTTCATAGGTTATGGAATTTTTAAATTACGGTATTTTCAAGACTACAAAATCTTCTCAACTCATCTTGCTAAATAACGCCTTTCCACTTTTTCCAGACTGAGCTTTGCTAGGAGGCACCCCCACCTTTGGCAACAGCTCTGGGACCTGGGACACTTCTCTCTCATGCTCTCCAGCATCCAACAGTCACACTTAATTTATGGTTCACAACACTGCAGCCTACTGCCATGGAAATTTCAAACAAAGCAGTATCAAGAGACAGGCCAACAGGACAACAGGCTGGGGGACAGAGAGAGAGCGAACATGAACAAAATGTCAACGAGTCACTCCGAGGACTTTCAACCCTTACAAAATAGCATGGGAAATTACATCATACAATCTGGAGTTGCTGTGCAGGCAGGTTGAGTGTGTGAATTTCACAGCATTCACACAGGAATCAACAACCCACTTAAACTCTCATTTAGGCAGTACTGAATCCAACGTTTCTGAAAGTAACTATTTCAGTAATTGGTATTACTGATCTTCACAACAAAAAACTCAGTATGACTGCGTACATGACAATCTCCCACATAAAGATGCACAGACTAAGTCACACAGAACAACTCAGAGTTTTGTCCAAAGCTACCATGATCCAAATGCAGAACTTGAAAATCTAGAGTGTTAATTTCCTTTTGCCAAAATTCAGCAACTAAATCATGCTCCTCTCAGTCAATCCACTCATAATGCTTGTTTTATGAAGTTGTCCACATTCCACTAGAATTTGCTGCTGATCACAAATGAAATACTGATAGGCACTCTAGATAAAAATAGAGGATAGAGGGAACTTTTGCTTCTCAATCTCTGCAAAGGATTTTTCTGTAAACAATAATAAAAGAAAACCGTAAACATATACATACATTTGGGTTTGGCTGCATTGTTATCCTGGAGTAGGTGTAAGGAAGCTCCCCGTACCAGGAGGTAAGCCTCGGTTCCTCAAAAGATACTTCTAAAAAAAGAAAAACAGGGAGACTTTCTCAGTTTCCTTGTCAAAGTGCTTAAAAATGGAAAGATGACACAATTCTGCCAAGAAACTTGAGCAAAAAGGGACTGTCTGCTCACCCAAAGGCAAAAAGCAGCCCCTTAAAATCCTCAGCCTTACACAATGAATTCAAGCGAATTAATGAGATGATTCAAAAGTAGGCCTGTCTCTGCAAGAGGAATTACCTTGCCAAAATCTCAGACCCACATCAATTTCTCATCTCTACGCCAGATGGGCATGGACCAGAGAAGTTAAAGACAGCAAAATGAAACTGAAATTTTATTTGTAACTCCTGCCTGTTTTATATTCTCCCAGTTCCAGTGCCCAATAGGCTGGCATCAGTTGCATGAGGGATCCACAGGAAGGGATGGAGCGGAAAGGATTGTGGCATCCATGGGGCATTACAGAAGCAGCATCTAACAAGGCTGGACAAGAAATATTTTGTCAAATATGCGTGTGCTCTACGATGTAATACAAACATCAAGTTAAAAGTACTCTCAACTTCTGAAAAGACTATCTGGGTAGCCATTTCTCATGCTTGACAGGTAACATTCTCCATTATTGCAAGCCAATAAACAGAGATGTTGAAGACATTTTCCAGCCCTACCCAGTAACTACTCTGATATATTGTCTTACATCCGTTCCCAACTGAAAGAGAAATTTAGCTACAACAGGTGCCCCTTAGTGAACAAATCCAGAACAGCAGTCTCTTCACTTCCTGCATACTGGAACTAATAAGAAAAGCCAAGGGAAAAGAAACACGATCTGCTGGGATCATGAGAGAGGCAAAAAATATTCCTGGTTACAGAAACCTCAAACAATAGTGTTCGCAGCATCAGTGGGAGACAGCATGAAGGGATGGAGCACAGACTTAATCTAAACAAAGAGTGGGGAAAAAGAACCAGAGAGGACAGAGGAGGCAGTAAAATTCAAAGATATTTAAGATGGGCAATTCTAATTTGGAAAGATCTCATTTAATTGGCAATAGGAACATGGTGATAAAGTTTGAAAAATAAGCAGAGATATATATGCATGGAGAACCTGGAAGGAAATGTGAAGGAGTGATAATATGTAAAACGAAGAACAATGATAAACAATGAGTGGATTTTGGTATGGAAATGACCTGGGAATGACATGAAAAGTTGGTCCACATGCTCCTTACCTTGTCTGATGTGAGTTCGCTGACCCCAGGGTATGTCTTGGAGGAGTTGTTCAAACATCCAGTCTGCTTGTTCTGAGTCAATAAAGCCAGGAGTCAAATGAATCCTAAGAAAGAAAAAGATTAAAAAACGATGAAAGGAATATACACTTCTATATATGCTTTGATAAAATAGTCTCATTTCCAGGATGCCCAAAATTGCTAAGAATGGCGGTAACGCATCAGAGCAAAAGTCAAAGCCAAAAGCAGGTGTGAACGAAAGCACATAAGGCAGCAGGAGCTCCTGATGAGTCTTCCCCTCCCCAAAAAGGTCTAATTGCTTTTTAAAACCTATTACATTTAACATATGACACTAACAATATCCTACAGGTCCCACCATTGGCCATATACTGTGTGAAAAAATGGCATCCTTCTGCTTGTTACTAACTTCACATCTGATACGTTAGACAGCCCCAATGATGGTACTACAATCAATGTAAGTAATTGTCCTTTATTCACCATCTCCATGTCACTCAGAATTTGACAGCCCTTGATCATCACCGCCATCCTATCCTCTCTTTTCCAAGCACAAGAACCCTAGAGTATCTAACCTCTCCTGTTTTCACATTTTCATCTGTACCTTTTACTTTTTGACCGTACTAACAACAGCATTCAAAAATTCAAGATACCGTGGTGGGCTGCAGAATAGGAATGCTGTTCACAAGAGCTTACTCTCACAAGTATTCAATGCTCCAAAGACATCACAAGAAGAATACATAGTAAAGGTACTAAGAGAGATGCAAAATCTGATTATTAACTTCCCAGAAATGTAGATACCCCAGGAACATATTACGAAAACAAACTCCAGAAAACGACAGGATAACTCAGCTGGCTTTGTATCTTTTCTCTTTCCAGCTGGTCAAAGCTTTTACTTTTCAAATTGGTATAAAAATTCACTTGCAACTTTAGAAGAAACCAAGATGAAAGCTTTGAAATAAATGCACAAAAAGTTACTATGTCTTTGGAGTTTTTCCACTATTAATAAAAGCTATCAAATTCAGAAGAAAAGGACTAATACTGACATTGCAGCTAAGACAGAAAGGTAAAATAAAATGCATTTTAGTTAGCAGGAATCACAGAACAAGTAGGTTTTGTTTTGAAGTGTCCTGAAGCAGAAATAATTAAGGCACCGCATGTAAACAGAAGGGACAACCCTGAAGTTACCAAATCTGCCTGAAGTTAAATGCTTTTATTAGATTAATTTAAACCAAGTCCAATTTACAGCTCTAAGTTTTTGGTAGCTCTGAACTACACAACACAGACATCACGCACTTGCTAACACAGGAACACTGACCCAAATTTCAAGCAACAACTTACTCTGAATCATGAAACAAATGGATGCAGCCCCATCTCCTTATTCCTGACAAGAACACTAGATGCAGTACGCACTAGATGTTAAGAGGTTCATTTGCCTGCTCTTCAGTGCTGCTTAGAACTATGTGGTCTCTGCTACCTGATACTCAAAAGTATTTCCAGAAGTACTCTAAACCGAAGATACACAAGAAGGGCAATGTGCACCTGCTGGAGGCAAAACACTCCACAGAGATGAGGCTTGAGAAAGCTGAGTAGCACTGCGTCGTTCTGCAATAGCAAAGAACAAGTTTCATCCACTTACCTAGAAACGCCAGTTGGTGCTTTGCTGAGCTCATACACACCAGGCTTGCTGAGGGTGTAGAAAGGAAAGAGCCATCAGATGGACGAACGACAAGAAATTACCTTACACTGAGCAGCACGGACTAGAATTGCTGTAAGCTTGAACTAGGGAAAGTTTTCTTTCAAAAAGAGAAGAAGGGAAGCAGTAATGTTCTGGAGCTGGGCAGTGGTCAGGGTAAGGCAACAAGGGATGTTGCAGAAGGAAATTAGTTTGCATGTACTTCCTGCCTCTTGCTCTCATTTCACCAAAGGCCCAATTCACAGTTTTAGGGCTCTACAGATAAGTAAAGGAGGGATGTCACAGGGAATCTAAAGGAGACAACCATACAGGGCTGCACCCTGACCACTATGCTTGCATTTATACATACACTGAGTAAGAAAATTCTACTAAGATAACCAAACTGAAGCAAATTTCATTTTCAAAATCTGTAAGTTCACCATACACCACCACACCTTGTCACACTTTATGCCAAAGTTATTCTGAGAAGATCCTTGTTTCGACACAAAGGGTAACCAATCTAGAATACCTAGCTTCAGAGGCAGTAGCAGCTACTTTTCTGAACCTTCAAAGAAAGTGGGCTTGAGCTGCCATACCAGCTATATTCCTGGATAACAGTACATAGTTTCCAGCACAGTTTACACAGGGACTGTTCTAGGAAAATGTACATTGCAAATCAAAAGAGACTATTTGCAGTTCTGTTGATTCAGAATGTCCAATTGTTCATTCTTCCTGGCTTATACAGGCTGTACACAGCTACATCAAAGCTATAAAAAACAGTTAACACAGACTTGGACTCTCCCGATTATAAATTCAGTTCAGGATAAGGGGGCTGAAAGTCCACATTATCTACTAAAATTTCTTCCCAGGGCACAGCAGTTTAAGTGGAGAAGGAACTCTTTTTCAGCAGATTCCCGCTGACCAACAAGACAGAAAAACTGCACAAAGGACAGTGAAGTCAGCAGCATACTCACTCTATCACATCTGCCTCAGGAACTTGGCACTCCACCTGAAAGGCAACAAGACAATACATGGTGAATATTAAACATTTCAGTACCTGGCACGCTCCAGTCAAACAGCATGAATCACCATCTCTGGTGACTCTACATAACTACATACTGACAGGGCAGTGAGAAAAACACACCTCTGGACAATGGGGAGGCAGTAACAACCCACCCACTCCCTCCACATGCCCCAGAAACTCTCAAACGCAGCTACTACTGCTGGTGGTTTTTAACTATCAACTGCCCCCTAAAGGACACTCATTTCTAAATTACTTGGATTATTACAGTTCTTGCTATTTATCAACTGCAACTGAAGTTCTTATCCTTACATTTGGAACTAAAAATCTAGAGCAACTATGGGAGGGACAAACAAATCCCAGGCCCCGGACAATGGGCAAACACAAGATAGACCAGATATAGCAGGAGCTGACACTTTAAAACTGCCTGCACAGTCCAAGATAGCTGGTTTTTGTAAAAACCAAAACCAAACACAGTAGTTTAAACCAGCTTGGATTACCATTCTGGTTGTCTCAGGGATTTATGCTTCTCTTCTCTGAGCCCAGTGCAGTGCTGAGATGCAAGGAGGTACTGAGCTGAGCAAGCAAGAGGGCCGAAATATATAGATACCAGGGCTCTGCCACAGAGAAAAAAGAATCTTCCCAGGACATCTCCAATCCTTCCAACCCAAGACGACAGCCTTTCAAACACTTCTGGCTTAGAAAGAAGTGTTCAAGATTTTTTTTTTTTCCCCCCAAGCAAGGAACTGCCCTCCCACTGCAGAGAGCACAATATCCTTCATCTGCTGATGGGACATAAAGCAAAGTCTACAAAACAAATCCCATGCTCTTTCCTGGTGACAAATACGCCAGATATCCCAACCGAGGGGAAAAGACAGAGCTCAAATTGTATTCTGAATATTCAGGAAAACATACTCTTTTAAGCTCTCTGAAAAAAAGTAATTATGAATCAGTACATAATGCCCACTCAACGCCTGAGGCTAAGCAGAGGGACTGCAAATTTCTGTTTGACATATATACAAGACAGTGCAAACTCTGCTTGGTAAAAGCCCAAAGTTCAGCTCAGCTGAGTTTTTGTTTTTAAACATAAGACTATAATCTCAAAGTCCGGTAATTTTTATCACTTGAAGTTTAATAAAAGATAAGATTCTGCTAGTTACCATTTAATTTTTACCTGCGATGGCTTTTCAAAGACAAATTGCTTTTGAGTGTGAGGCTGATCTTTTCTCATCCATGCCGGTCCAGTGCCTGCAGGGGCAAGGCTGCTGGCCGCAGGTGCCTGAGGTGCTAAAGCAAAGAACCAAAAAAAAGGATCACATGAAACAGAATTTCACCATACAAAAATACTGTTTGGAAGAACTTATGGAATCATTCTTTGAAGTATTCTTCTGTACTTGGCAGAGACTCCAGGAACAGCCAAATCTACATTACATAACAGTTCAAATTGCACAGAAACTTAGATATATTTGTTATTCATAGAGAAAAAAAACCAAGCCATCTTTTTATCGGAAAGGATGACATCTAGAACCTTTCAATTCTACCACAAACACCTATCACCTGCCAGCAGAAATTTTCACAAGCAGCTAAACTGCTTCCCTCTGCAATTTTTTTTTACAAAATCAAAAGACATTTCTCTGAGAAAAATACTTCTATTAAAACAAGATTTTGAAACTCGGAAGAAAGTACAGAAGAGCAACTCAGGCATACCACTTCACGTGTTTTATTTATGCATGGAATCAGGCTTAAAAATGGGCCTGAAACAAAGTAAAAGTCTTCACCCTGCCTAATTCAAAAGATGGGAAAAATAATTTTTAATAATCCCATTAGGAACAGGTGGAATGAAACACACCTGTGACAGAAAACTTACAGGCCACACGTACAAGTCAAAATAGTTGGGTAATTTTTGTCAGGACAAAAAAAAAAAAAAAAAAAATCAGCTTGTCTAGAACGCTCAGTCTGCCGTGAAACGGGAGCTTTACTGGGTATTGTAATCAAGCAAGTGGAACGTAGTGTTTTGACCATGTTCACAAAACAAACCTGTCCTTGCAAGACTGGAAACCTACCCAGTGCTCTCCTGCCTCTGCACTCGTTTGGTTTAAACGTCTGATAAAAACCAGCACTGTTAACTCCAGCCCTTTCAACCAGCGCCCTCAGTGAAAAGATAAAGGAAGATACATAATAAGTTTCATGAATAAAAAGCAAATAATGATTATTACAGAAGTTAGCTCTACTTGTCTCATTCAACATGCCCAACGACGGGAAGAGTACTCTCAAGCCTAACGTGTGCGCTGGATCTATACACACACGCAGCTGTCCCTATGTTCTGCATTCACAATAGCTACAACACATCTGTGACCTACATAAAAATTTCACTTAAAATCTGGGTTCGACCACCTGAACTTTAGTTTCCCAGGCACATTAGGACCCCGCAAGGCCTCGGGCTC